ACGCCCCTTGATTCTCCTTGACTCAACTTCAATGTGTTGACTCACTTCGATGCTGGCCATTCAAGGTTAAGGACAGACTGGGGAATATCATCGATGTGTCCATCGGTTCATGAAACACACGATCTTTTTGGGAAGAGTCACCCCCAATTCCTGCACAATCTGAAGTCGGGCTTGGGGTTATGCTGTCACCGTCACAATCACATCTATGAAGAATGGTACCAAGTGACCCTGATCAAGCACACGCCGTGAATATAAGTTACATAAGTTGTGCCAGTTCATGAGACAACTCTCTGACCATCGTCATGAGTCAAGGTGAGCATCATAGTGAACGCCACGCATGATAGGCAGTTCCAGAAAAAACTTCGAGAAGAACGCCAGGCAGTGATTTGGTTGAGCCAGAGGCGTCAGGCAAATGGGAGAACTGCCGACCTAGCGCGTCCTTGATTTTCGGTGTCTTGTTTCCCATGATCATGCATGACAGGAGGAAGCTTTTGGCGAGGACCTCACCATACCATACCATGACGCAACTTGTTCCCCGGCAGTCTCCATCATGGTTCATCCATGTCTCTGGGTTTATTTTCTAGCTGCGTTTTCGTCGGGTGATATCTGCATGCTCTAACGGCTGCCTTTCTTTTTCGACGTACGTTTCGTGGCCTAATCGTCCCACGAGTGCTGCATTAGCGCCTAGAGTTGTATGGTGGCCGTCGATGTTTGCTTCTTCTTCTTCTTCTTCCCCTTCCGCCCAGGCAGTCCCCTCTAGCATGTGGACATTATTTCACTGCAAATTTGCTTTTTGCGCATCCCTTTTCCAGTTTATCATGGCATGATTCTAGTAATCCGTCAAGGACTGCCATTACCATCTTCGTCTTCGGCTCCGCACTCTGGAATTATATCACAGATCATGGCCTGGGCCGTCCTTCGCGTTAAGGACCGTGGAGCTTCTGGCGCAAGGTCCAAGAGTTGCAAAGCGGGCCCTCTTTGAGGGTCTGCTTCGTCTTGTATCGGACAACACATCTCAAGGGCCCGAGATCATGCACTCGCTAGACTCCAACTTAGTCATGTCGCGTGTTGAGTGCGGTCTATCCAGCGCCGGTTGGTCTCTCGTGTGACATGTGTGGAAATGGAGTAATCGTTAAGGTAGGTGAACCCTTGTTGACACAAATGACATTCTAGCTAGTCATGGCCATGCCGCAACTTGCACCTGGGTGTGTGAAATCTAAGTCTACCTACGTCTTGGTCAACTAGGACATGTTGGCCAGAATGCCCGTTTTACCCAACTCGACCTCGGCCAGACGAGTTTCCGCGCGTTGGGGATAAGATATGGATACCCTCATTGAATTCATCTAGCAAATCCATGGGGATTACGGGATGCTCTGTTGAGAACGACTTGCCCCCCGAGACTACTGATGCTCCGGCTCGTGAGCTGGCCATGGCGTTGATGAGATCAAGCCCCTGGACCCTAGGATCCTCCCCTCGGGTAATTGTGTCGATCATTCTGGTTGGATGCTGTGGTTGGCTGGTTTCAACTCAATAGTGAGTTGACTCGCAATTACCTTGGGACCTTAGGTCGCGTCTAGTTAGTGTCTAAGACTGAGCTGAGACGCTAATTACTGCATCTCAGATCCCGCACGTACTGGACAGTCATCCCTCTCTCCCTGCCTCAGTCGCTCGCTCTGACCGCTGATGGCGCTGTCGAGAAACGGAGTCGTTCACAGCGCTAGAAGGCCCCTAGATCAGCCAAGAGATGATATGGCAATTTCGAGACAGCGGCTCCGTGGCCGATCCAGGGTCCTCTGATTCAAGACTCAGATCGAGCGATGTCCTCTTTCTGGTATCTCAATGGGCATTGTTTGGCCCAGTGGGTTGAAGCTGAGATTAGGGCGAACCCCAGCCGCTTCTCCGGGGCACAGCTATACTGAATCGGTGGTGGGTTTCCGAGCAGCGCATATGTGGGCGCACGACATACATCCACTGTCAATGCACACAGAGCATTCAGGTCCAGTTAGGGAGTGAGTGAGGGTGAGTCTCAGGGAGAGCGAGCAAGCTCCTGTCGTAGGAATGGTGAGGCTTACGAGCCGCCAGATTGACCCTGCACGCATCTACAAGCCATGGCCGCCGTGCCTCTGACTGCCATGGCACTTACTTGAGACAAAGCAATGCCGACTATTGCAGATGAGATTGGGTTGAGCTTGAAAGTCTCCTGCCAGATTGGGATGCCATTTGGAGTCTAGTTATACTCTTAATTGAGCCGAGGTAGCTCGCGAAGTCCTTGAGTTATTAGTACTCAGGTTGGCTCAGTTGAATGATTCTGGCTTCAACATTTCAAGATGCACGAACCATCCTCTCCTAAGGGCGTCGTACTTCTGCTTTGGTAGTCATGGCAATCTTCTTCATGTATTTCAACATGGGATCAGATCATGGGTAGACTCGCTGGTTGCTTTTCGTCTTTGCCGCTCTGATCCAGTATTATTTGTACGTGCACGATGGCGATGCGGTTGGGAAAACCTTGCTAACTATGCAAGATGGCAACGGTGACGGCCGTATAATGGAAATGTGACCCTTTCTCGTCTTGGCTATTCCTTGTTGGGTAGACTTTGCTCTTATTTCTCGTCCCGTGCGGCATTTGAGATCTCCGTCCTTTGACATGATACATGCTGTTTTTTGTTGGTTGGCAATACTCATAATATGATATGACATAACAGAGTTAGTTGACCGGTGGTTGGTGGTTGGTGGTTGGTCCTTGGTTTAGAGAAGACCACATGCGTATGTGACAGATCGTTGTTTGTCTACGGGTCTGTTTGTCCTTGTGGTGCATTACGTATAACCTTTTCAAGGTTTCGGTTTCATCACAAGGTTGGCGCAGTGGTTAAGGACCGGGGTCTAGGGTACCCAGAAACTTCAAATGTTTTACGTATTAGACTTTCTCTCCGTCCCAGTACGCTACCAGTGAGGAGCGAGATTCAGCAAAAGTCCATGATTTAGGTGTTTACCCTATGCATAAACAAGCAGAAGTTACATACTCTCAACCCTCGATTTAGTTTTGGGCAAACATACTGTGGCAGCCACCAAGTCATGGAAACTCGGGATAGACCCATACATAGTTTGTTCATGATGCAATGCAATGTGTTAATCACTAGAACCAAGATGCGGTACAAAGAGATAACATTTCGGGGCAGATAGAATGGGTGACCAGAGGAATCAAATGCATGTTTTGGGGACTTCTCAGCAAATTCTACAGTGTAGACACTAAACGACGGTAGGGCGAGTTGTGAAGCCAAGATAGATATTTGTACGGCAAGTCATATGTCGTTGCATATATCACAGTGTTATGACAGTATGTAAAGTAACCCCAAGCTGGAGACTAAGTATCAACAAGGCTGAGGAACACAAGGTTTAGAGGCTGGAGTACCAGTAAAAGGCACCTGGGGCTAAAAAGCCAGGAATTTGTCGTACTGTAATAGACTGAGTATGTATTCGCTTGAGATGATGTAACTGCGTTTCATGTAATGAAACTGCGAATGGCGACTGTACTCGACACGGAACAAGTCATCAATATCATACATGGTAGTGACAGAGAACACCTAAACGCATGGCGGCCGAGTTTTACCTCGAGTATCTGTACAAGCCACTCACCCTTTCCTGTCATAACGGTAGCGGGAAACGGGAAACGGGAAACAGAAACAGGAAACAGAAACAGGAAACAGAGACAGGAACGAAAACTGATGCATCAAGCAGCGAAGCATTCACTGCTCGCGGTCGTTTTCATTGATCATCCGTAGGTATCATTAACCCCCCTCCTTTGTTGTTCCTCCCATTCCACTTCCTTTTCATATTGTACAAGATGGATATAGGGAAGGCTTATTGCTGACGCTTCTCAACACCTTCACGACCAACGTTGCTCAGGTCCACCTCCTCGCCCTTGGTAGCGGGCTCACGGAGACCAGACTGAGCAGCAGAGTCGGTGCCAATGGGGCCCTCCTGCTTGCCAGCGCCGACGTTGACGGTGCGGGCATCAGCGGACTGCCAGTCGGAAGCCTTAGGGGGCTGATCGGGGAGGGGGAGGTTGGCCTGAGTCTCGGCAATCTTCTGGTCCTTGGATTGTGTCATTTTGATGGGAGGTTTTCTGAGAATGATTATTAGTACACATTCCTGACACAACTCGATGTCACTTTGACTTACTGGGTTGGTAGTTGTGGTTGCGACGAAGAAGTCTTGTCTTGTGATGTGATGTGATGTGGTTGAGTTGAGGGTTGAGAGTTGAGAGTTGGAGATAGATGATGATGTTGAACTGACGAAGCTTCTCAGGGGTCCTTTAATACCTGCTCATTCATTCACCTTCTCCATAATTACACTCTTCCCGCCCAAGTAAATGCACAAGCACGCAGGCACGAACAAACAAACAAACAAACGCAAACAATGGACTCATCACGATGCCATTCACAATTCTGACGTCAGTGATTCACTGACGTCACAAAAACATCACCGCGCAAAATGCTCCGGCCTCTTCTCCACACCAAAACATCATTTTTGACGTTACATATTCCACCATGGATGTTTCTGACAGATTCTGCATCTCAGAGCTACATATTCGACGACCCACGCTAACAAGACAGATCGCGGATCGACACCCATTCAATATCCCCGGTGAGGAGACTACAGGGATCACGACCAAGGTGATGTTGTCGCTGCTGTCAGGTACCGAGTCAATACCTTGGTTAGCCTGACTCGGGATCCAAGGAGCACGCGACATATCAACCTTAAACCAAGGCGCTCAGCCAGTCAATCGATGAATTCGCCGAGCCAAGCAAGCATCTGAACCCGAACCAAAACCGAGGCTGGCACCCAAAACGCCCCAACTGCAATGTCATTGATGCAGTGCACAGTGGTTGTAAAGCAAATATCAACATCCAACATCCAACATCTACCACTCATCGTGACGTTTCAGAACCCCACTACCTCAGACACGATCGTGATCAACTCACCCTTAACTCCTCCCTCCTTCAAGCTACTCGCCGATCCGTCTCTGCAGATGTGGGCTTCTCCCCTGCGTCTGGGTTGAGGTAATCTGCGTCTTCAGCAGCTTCGTATTCGCCAATCAAGTCTGCAACAACCTGCCGTGCCTCGTCAAACTCGTTGAGGTTCTCGGAAAACGGTGCTGTCTTCTTGTATCCTTCCATAAAGGCATTGCGCTTACGCATGCCATCGTACTGCCTCAGAATTCTCTTGAAGAGCTGTGACTGTGTGAGCTACTGTGCTAAATGGAGTAAGTAAACTAGAGGTCTTGCATACCGTCGCAATACTTGTGTGGTTGGCGAGCATAAGACCGCTTACACGGTGACTCATGGGAATGTATGGGCTTCTCTTTGTCAGGGCAACTTGAATGCTCGCAGGTCCCCATGGAATGAACGTCGCCAGCCGTCGTTCTCGGATACGAAGCAAACTCTTGTGAACATCTGTCGGATCAACTTCACCCTGAATGACATTGAGAATGGATATGTAGCAACTTTTCTTGCCGGGGACAGTAGACACCATGCGGTTCTTGGGCTGTAGTAGACGTCGCATCACATCCAACACTGTCGTTTTGCGAACTGTCTTAGCTTGCTCGACTTGGTCACCGGTGAATGGCGTGTAGGCAGTCATGAGGAAATGGCATCGAGGAGTTGGGATGAGGGAGGCTAGGATGCTGACAAGATCATTGTGCATGTAACCGGGATATCGAAGTGTTGTTGTACTGGCAGACATGACAGTAGCAACCTGATAATTGTCAGTGCCCTTGCTTCATCTGACACATATCCTAACACTCGTGCTCTTGCTACGTGCATATCAGGCAAGATCGAGGTTGCAGCACTCACCAGCTGGTTTGTTTGTTGAAAGGATGGCTCCTGAACATGCAACCTATCGGCAGCAATGTGTGACAAAGCACCATTATCCAAAACGACAACCGAGTCAGCATTTTGCGTCAATCTTCGCATAGATAGGATACTGTTATAAGGATGAACAACAACATCGCCCGCGTTCGTTGTGTCCGGGAAGACCGAGTACGTCTGGATGATCTTCTTGGGAAACCGATCGTTAAGCCTCTCGAGGAGGAACGAACCAAGACCTGACCCAGTACCGCCGGCAATTGAGTGCAACATCATGAAGCCCTGGGGTATGAAGCGTCAGTAAGCAGGTTCCGGCTGGTTAAGGAAGACTCACCTCGAGAGAGTCACTGCCATCTGCCTCTCGATCAATCATCTCCATGATGTCCTCGTACACCGCCTCACCACTCTGGTAACCATCACCCCAGTTGTTGGCGGCACCAACGCCATCTTTGCCCACGTAAAAGTTCTCGGGGTTATAAATATTTCTGTAAGGTCCAGTCTGGATACCGTTGATGACCTACAGAAGTTGCTTAGCACTTGGTCACCTTGCTATTGGTCCAAGACGCACCCTCGGTTCCAGATCAATCAGGATGGCTCGGGGAATGTATCTCGTATCGTCGCTCTGGTAGTAAAAGACATCTTTTCGGTCACCGCCTTCCGTCGCAAAGTCTTCTAGGTTTCCATCTTGGCTGATGCCGTGTTCCTGGCAGAGCTGTTGCCAAAACTGGCTTCCAACTGTGTACGAATAGAATCAGCAATGTTCAATGTATCTGTATGCGCATGGCCGCAAGAGCAAGTCAGAAGATGGCGGCGTAGATGCGGGCATATTGAAGGAGCAGATAATGGTATGCAGATGGCGGGGGATGGATTATAACTGACTGCTGTTGCCGCACTGCCCGGCCTGGATCGTAATGATTTCCCTGAGAATTGTTATGTGAGTATCTGAATCAGGTTGTCGTCGACCGGGAGTATTGAACTTACCTGGGCATGTTGTTTAGAGACTGAAAGTTGTTGTTGTATTAGAGCCAAATCTTTTCCCCCTTCGGGTATCGTCTTGGGGAAACTGACGCGACGCGTGCCGCACTCGTACCTGCCCTGCGCTTCTCTCTCTCCAGGGCAGCTCCCTCTACCTAGGTACCTAAGGTACTCCTTCCCGCCTGCTGATCCCCGCCCCCGCGTTTCACATGAGTCTTGGGCTCTCGCTTTGACATTGGCAATTTTGAGCCTCACTTATTAACAACATTGGACTGAAAGGAAGAGTACCTCCTTACTCTTTAGGATTACTGACCTGGCAGTGATTTACATGATACCTCGAGGTGGATAGTTTATGTATGTTCCAGTTACTCTCCTCTGGGGACAATTTCTTCTCGTTCCATGGCTCAATTACAACTAGGTACATTATGACGGCTACCTACCTGATGACTTCAAATAGCCCATCACTACAGAAACATCAAGGTTCTCCCAATGCCCTCTCAGTATAACTTGTTAAAAGCAACTTTTGTATTCCATACACTGATCAAGTCAATTTCTGCCTGCTTGAGCTTTCCCACGAAAATCCCAAACGTGACTTTACCTGCAAAAAGAAGATATAAAACGTCGAATGCTTGACAACGCCCGCAATGCTGCTCCTTGCACCTTACCTTTCTATGCAAGCACCTAATGTCAGAGTGTGCTTCTATATACTATTCCCCAGTTTCCTCCACATTACTTCTTGTTATGGACCTTGTTCTTCTCCAAAGCTTCTGCAAGCTCCTTAGCCATGTCCGCCGTCTTGACCTGAATCATCCAAGTTTCAAGTCCGTCACCCTTCTCGTTCGACGTGGTCATCTTGACGTACTTCTTGTCAGCCTTGTAAGACATGTCGGCGAGGACTGCTCGGTTCATGGCAATATGTCCACGGGGCTCTGCTCGCAGGAGAAGACGAACAACACTCGTCTCCTTGTGCTTTAACAGTCGAAGAGCTCCTACACCCTGTACCGACCACGGACTCTGAGACTTGGGCTTCTTGTCATCCGACTTCTCACTGGCCGGTACAAACTTCAACACCTTTGCCCGTACATCATGCATGATATCCTCGTCCTGCTCCAGGTTCTCGGCCAAATTGACCTGCTCGTGCTTCTCGCCTTCTTCATCGCCTCCGACGGCTCCTTCGGCTTGGTTCGATGGTTCCGGGGTCCCGCCAGCTGGTGTTGTGGCCAGGCTAGAGCCTCCCCCAAGACTGAACGGTGTGTCTACACCCGTCGCTTTAGTGGGGCGATTTTCCGATGTGGAAAAAGAGGAGACTTACTGGTCCCGGTGGTTGAACCACCAGCAGGCGGTTGAAGGTTGCCGTTCTGGTTGGATCCAAATGTTGGTACTGAGTTTTGCGCTGGCGAGGCTCCTGTGAAGCTGAACCCCGGCGCTCCTGCAGATCCGGACGCCCCTCCAAAAGCGGGAGCATTGTCGTTACTACCTGCTCCGAAAGCTGGGGTCGATGTCGCGTTGCTTGCACCTCCAAATTGGAACGGATTCGAACCTCCTGAAGGTGCGGCGGTGGCACCAAAGCTGAACATGCCCCCAGGAGCTGATGATGGAGTCGAAGTTGCGTTACCTCCATCGTTGCCTGAGGAGAACGGATTGTTGAACGATGAAGAAGTAGAGTTCCCTCCAAACTGGAAACCGAACGATCCTCCAGAGTTGGCTGAGTTTGCACCAAAAGACGAGCCTGCATTGTTAGCAGCAGGGGTCGCTGAAGCACCGCCAAACAGAGGTGTGGAAGTGCCTGAGCCACTACCAAATGAGGGAGCAGCAGGAGCTGTAGAGGCGCCACCAAAGCTGAATATGGGTGAGGCCGAAGCCCCAGTACTTCCACCATCGAATGCCTTCTTGGCCGGTGATGGTCCATCCTGCTTCATGGGACTACCATCAAGCGCAGCTGCACCAGACGACGTAGGCGACTGAGGTGCCCCAAAGAGGGGCTTGTTCGCACCGTTGATCTTATCAGCACCAGCAGAAGGCGGCCCGAAGCTGAAAATGGGGGCCGCAGCAGGCTTGTCTGCCGTGGGAACAGCATCAGTCTTGGGCGTCGTCGCATCGCCAGAGCTGGAGGCACCAAACAAAGGCTTAGCAGTTGACGCCGAGGCATTGCCGAACAGGTTGGTGGCGGTGCTTGTAGGTTTTGCACCAAATAAAGACGTAGCAGTAGTAGATTCTGCACTGGGAGCACCAAAGAGTGAAGTCTTAGTTGCTTCATTGTTCGTGGGTTTGGTACCAAACAATGTAGACGACTGCATCGAGGGACCGCTTGACTCAGCAGGCTTGCTTACGGTACCAAACAGGTTGGTAGTGGGCGGGGCAGTGTTGGACTTCTCATCAGACTTGGTTCCAAATAAGCTTGTAGCAGGAAGCTTTGTAGTCTCTCCAGCCTTAGATGGTTCCGTGGCCGAATTGGGCGCAAAGAGAGACCCAAAGTTTGCCGGAGCCGCTGAGGCCTTAGACTCGAACAGTGACTTCTTGGGGGCCTCATCGTTCTCCTTGTCGGATTCACCTCCCGTCTTGTCAGCCTGATCCGAGACTGGTGTTGCTTCCTTTTCTGTAGGCTTGTCCTGCTTGGCGGCACCGAATAGGTTAGAAGTGGGAGGCTTCGAGGCGAACAAAGAACTCGTCGGCGCCGAAGTGGCCTTGCCAAACAAGGAGGTAGTTTGGCTTGTGGATACAGAGCCAGACGGCGCAAATTTGATGGGGGTGGTGCTGGGGTTCCAGGTCTGGTCGACAGGCTTCTCAGCTGCTGTCTCATCCTTCTCCCCAATCCGCACCGGCTGTCCATCATTATCCTTGGTAACTCGGTCAAACAGACTTCGGCCAGGGGTGCTCTCCCTAGTGCCAGGTGCACTGGACCCAGCAGCGAGGCCACTGGCAGGGGCAGGCTTCTGTCCGAACAGACCGATGCCAGCCTGAGAAGCAGTGTCGGCACCGCTAGCTGCCGCGCTTGGCTCGTCGCTGTTTCCGGTTGCCTGGCTATCATCCTCAACATCTGAGTCGGCCTCACTCTCGGCATCGGCATCGACACCACTATTCTTGGCCGAGCTTGCATCAGAAAGGTAGGCAAAGATGTTTCCACCAGAAGAAGCGCCAGCAGCACTGCCGGGCTTAGGGTTCTGGAAGATGCTGCGAGCAAGCGAACTACCGCCGCCATTGGGCTTGTTGAAAGCAAAAGGATTTGGCTTAGCAGCAGTCCCATCATCAGCGGGCTTGGTAGAAGGCTTGAAAGGAGAGGCGGCAGAGGCAGTCGACTTGTTGGCAATCTTCTCGAAGAGAGATTTGGCGGCAGAAGCAGTGCCCTTCTGCATCTTGGAGGGCTGGCTATCAGCCTCATCACTGACGGAAGCCCTACGTTTGTTCTTACCCAAGGTGGAAGCTGGAGTAGGAATGGGTGCAGGAGTTGGCGCTTCCTGCTCCTGGTCATATTCTTCACGGTCAGGAGCACGTCGCTTGTTGTTGCTGGAAGAGCCGTTCACAGCAACATCTTTGGTGATATCATCATCCGCCTTACGCTTCTTGGCAGCAGTGATCTTTGTAGGAGTTGGTTCGGCATTATTTTCTTCTGGCTCAGGGAGACCATGCTCACGACGCCATCTCTTGAGCACATCCTGGGAAGGCTTAATATTCTGGAATTCGTAAAGTCCGTAGCGCAGCAGAATAATACTCCTGCTCTTTTCGAACTCCTTCGCAAAGTTGATGACATTAAGCTTCCAATCCTTCTTGGAAAAAATTTCGTTGGCTGCATATTTGAGTCGTCGGAGATCGAGAATACAGAAAAACTGTCGTCGCTGTTCTTCATCGAACTCGGGAGGACAGAGATGCGAGAGGAATTGATCAGCGTAAATGGAACCCTTGGAGTTCCAACTTTGTGGGATCTTCTTCGTAAGAACCTCACCAGACAGTTCGGGATCAGGGTCCTCGATACGCATGTGGAACAGCTCCTTGGATGTGGTCTTGGAAGCCATACCACGGGGTGTAGCATGTGCAGTCGATTCTCGATAGATACGGTTCGGCTCGGGGGTAGCGCCGGGAGCAAACACCTTCTTCGGGGTGTTCTGAGGGATGCTCGGGGAGAAAGGAGTGATGGAGGGACTATCGGAGGTGGTAGAGGCCCTGAAGATATTACGGGATGTAGAAATGGTAGATCTGTTGAGGCTGCTGGACGGCGTCTCATCGCGAGTCGACAATAGCCTCCGTGATGGCGCACTCTGCGGAAGGCCGAGACGGCTGCTCTTTAAGGGTGTTGAGACGTAGGCGCGCTTCGCAAAAGGGAGAGCAGGACGCGGCCGAGGCGTGCTCTTGCCAGCCTCGGCGAGTTCGTTGTCGCCGGGAATAGAGAAGGTGACCATCTTGCGCAAGGGTCGATGGTTGACGAGTAGGATTCAAGGCGGAAAAAGCGTTGTATGATGAAGGGTGATGACAATGAAACCACGATCGAAGGGCCAAGGCCAAAAGGGTCGCGTTTTTTTGAACCCGAAAGCGTGCCTCGAGGTAGGTTACGTGACCTGACCAGGTAGCAAAAGGAGAATAAAGAAAGGACAACGGCCAGAAATTGATGAGAAACAGTCAAGGAACAGCTAAAGAAGCCGTCTTTGACGAGAAGCGGTGCGACGTGATGGATGGCAGCGTAGTCGCATTCAGTCCAGGGTCGCCCTGGGAAACCGTGACGAAAATATGAAAAGAGTTGTACGACGGGGGAGATGTTTTGGCCTGGGCGCCGGGTGCAGTTCAGTGCCTTTTGGCTGGGGGTACTCGTGCTATGAGCGGGCTGCTGATGGGCCTCTTTCACGGGCCCTCCACTCTTTCAAAAAAGTAAGTACCTAGTTGTGGGTCTTCCGCCCAGGCTACCAAGCCAGGCCACAAGATACATCCATCATGAATTCTCAGGCACCAAAAACCGGTTGCGACACCAAGGCATCCTCTATCAGGTAGGTCCCGTGACCAGCCTGCATCATGGATTTTCTCAAGA